TTTTTTTTTTTTTTTTTTTTTTTTTTTTTTTTTTTTTTTTTTTGTTTTATTAAATAGCACAATATTTAATGACTACGGAGCGAACTTAAAAACACGTCCGCACTCTTCGACTGTTCAATTTCTCCAAGCACACTGGCCTCAAATTTTTTCTTCTCTATCCACATAGCGCTAAAAAGGTTTTTTGCAAATTTTTTTATATACAAATTGAATACACTGATTTTTATTAATTCTCTCTTTAAATTCACCGACTTCTTCTCTATTTTGCACCACAGCTAACAATAAAGTAAAGTTTTCTTCGATGTACATATGTATGCGACCGTACAATGGGCTCTGTCACACGGTCAGTGTTATCACGATATTTGGATCGCGATCCATATTGATGGATTGATGGATCGCGCACGAATGTTACGTGTTCAATATTTATCGCGTCAGTATTTGCATAATTTTTATGCTGAACGCTTATTATGACGCAAGAAAATATTTTTATTTTGTACGTATAATTTACAGATAATGCATTCCAGAATTATTTTAAGATTTTCAATGTTAATTAAAATTTGTTCAATTTGATTTGAATGATTTTAAGCCCCGAGAGCGAAGGCAGAGCCGATGTTCACATTATGACTTTTACTCTCTCTGTACTGACGAAATGTATGGATCGCGTTTTGAAAGTGCTACACGTTCAATATTTATTGACGGTATTGCGATCCGCGATCCATATTTCAAAATTTTTAGAAAGTTTGGGATATGGATCACGATCCATCAATACTGCATGCAACACCGTCAATAAAAATCGCGATACTTGGATCACGTAAATAAATAATGACCGTGTGACAGTGCCCAATCAATAGTTTCTTTTCGATATGAGTTGTGTTCTTTTACAAATTATCCAGTAACTCGCCAGTAACTCTCCAGTAACTTAATTTCTGAGAATTCGCTCTCATAGCACAAAAGTACAAGAACGCAAAATTGGTAATAATTTGCAAGTTTTACGAGCAGCCGATTAATTTGTTGTTTATTCGCAGCTAGTTGCTAATAAAACAATATATATTATATGTAAATAGGTTTATTTTGTCAATTCCAACTATGAAAACCTCATAAGCATTTGTTTTATTAGTTTTAACACCACCCAGCAACATGCGATCAGCTGTTTTTCTCACTTGCAAGTTCTTACTAGCAAAAATTTATCCAGTTAAAACTAGCAACTTCTCCTCAAAAAGAAATGTAAATTTTCGCGCTCTATTTCCCCTTTCTTACAAGTTTTTTGGGTACAAGAACACCAAAACATGATAGTACAAACTGGTACAAACTATCGCGTACAAGAACTCCACTAATAGTTGCGTTCCAGATGCCTCACGAAATTCACGATTTGCAGGAACAGCTGTTTTCCCCATTAATAAACCTTATGGGAGGTGGTCACCTGGAACGACTTCCTGTAAAAACCTGCAAATCGTGATCATTTGGAACGCAACTAATGTTAGCCGTTTTATAGTTGCGTTCCTTATTTCCCAGAAATAGTCAGAAAGAGTGCGAAGTAGTCAGATTTAGTCCAAAAAGCGTTCCTTAACTCGAAAATGACAGCAAAAATGAGAGAGTAACACTCAGTGAGAGTGACTCCCTTCAGTCCGAAGTAGTCAGATTTAGTCAGAAGAATTTTTTGTGGCAAAATCCTGAAAAGTGTCAAACTCAACTGAATTTAAATTAACAGAAATTAAAGAATACACAAAAAGTGAGAATAACCTGAAAAGTAAAAAAAAGTGAATTGAAATTGGAAGGAAGCAAAAAATAATTGATATAGTAAGGGCCGTTTGCACCATGTCTAGTTAATGCAGCGTTTTTTCTGCATTTAAAATGCAACATTTAGCGCTTTCGAACATATTTTTTCGAAGAGTGTTCATGCTATCGCATTTAGCAAGTGTACATTTAAGCTAGTTCGAAATCGTATGTTTTCGACAAAGAGCCGTGTTCCAGTCGCTTATTCAGATCCGTATCTATTACGATCAATTCTCACGGAAAAGATAATGTGCAAAAAACCCTACTGAAAGANCTGAATTTAAATTAACAGAAATTAAAGAATACACAAAAAGTGAGAATAACCTGAAAAGTAAAAAAAAGTGAATTGAAATTGGAAGGAAGCAAAAAATAATTGATATAGTAAGGGCCGTTTGCACCATGTCTAGTTAATGCAGCGTTTTTTCTGCATTTAAAATGCAACATTTAGCGCTTTCGAACATATTTTTTCGAAGAGTGTTCATGCTATCGCATTTAGCAAATGTACATTTAAGCTAGTTCGAAATCGTATGTTTTCGACAAAGAGCCGTGTTCCAGTCGCTTATTCAGATCCGTATCTATTACGATCAATTCTCACGGAAAAGATAATGTGCAAAAAACCCTACTGAAAGAGAAAAAATATATTTTAAACCAAAAATTCAATACAAAAACTTGAATTGTTTTAACCATAACCAAAAATTTGTTTGTGTATGTATTAATTTGTCGCTGCTGTCAATTAAAATTTCCTCACTTCATTAGGAAACAAAACAAACAGAGTTGATCACAAATTGATCCAGATTTCTATCAGCATCACATCGTTGTCGAATTTGCGTAACTTTTGTTTATCCAAATAATGTAAAATAATAAATGAAATCTTGATGGGCGATCACTGAAACGCAGCTAGCCACTGTTTACGCGAAAAAGCAATGTTGCCACTTTTTCTCATTAAACCATGTTCGAATCGTGGAAATTTTGGAAGATCACAGGGTTGCTTTTAGCATTTAGATTCTTAATGCAAAAATGGAGTTGCATTTAGTTGCATTTAGGTGACGAATTTTGTATGGATAAATGTACATTTAGAGTAGCATTTAGTGCTAAATGCGCTAAATGTGCTTTTACGCGTAATCAAAAACAGGCCATAACTCTAACTCCCAGTTAAACATCTTTATCGAAGTTATCGACACACATCATATAAGATGTGATCGATAAAGCCGCTAAGGGCCGTTTGCACCATGTCTAGTTAACGCTAACTGGAGGTACATCCTTCAGTTAAGCACGTTAACTGCTTTATCGATCACATGTTATATGATGGGTGTCGATAACGTCGATAAAGATGTTTAACTGGGAGTTAAGGCTCTGTTATGCATACTTGGCATTGCATGCACTGCTATACCATTTTTACGTAGAAATCAAAAACCAACAGACTTTTACGTATGTAATGCTGTGCGTTGGGTAACCGCTTACACGCGAAGCTCATTTAACAGATTCCTTATGTGACAACTCTCAAGCAATGCCAAGTATGCATAACAGAGCCTTTAGAATTAACTAGACATGGTGCAAACGGCCCTAAGTGTTTATTGTGCTTGTACTTGTGTGAATGTGTTCTGTACATACATTTCCATTCTTATTTGACGTTAGTGTTGTTTTTGCCATTCTTTGGACTAAAAATTTTGGTTTTTTGCGTTCCTTTACTTTTTTGTCTGTTATTCTCTAATAGCGAGCGCATTTTGCTTACGCTTTGGCATTTTGATACTTTTCAGATTTTAGTCCAAAAAGATAAGGAATGAACCTTATGCAGGCCGAATTTTGATCCGATATTATCGATGTTTCAAATATATCGATGCATCGTTTGCCTCTTTATTTTCAGGATACAAAATCGTAGGTGATTAGTGAGAAAATGTCTGGACAGTGTGAGCCCTTAACTTTGTCCAAAGGTAATGCGCTTTTTCAGAATTTACCCTTAATAAATTAATTAAATGCACATACTTCTTTAGATATAAAACGTGCAATAGAATTGCTGGAAAAGTTGCAATCAAGTGGTGATTTTCCAACAACGAAGCTATCGGCACTACAAAAGGTTCTTCAAAGTGATTTTTTAAATGCTGTAAGAGAAGTTTATGAACACGTTTATGAAACGGTTGACATCCAAGGATCACTGGATGTACGGGCTTCAGCTACAGCCAAAGCTACTGTTGCCGCCTTTGCAGCAAGCGAAGGACACGCACATCCTAGAGTTGTGGAATTACCGAAGACCGAAGAAGGTATTGTTAAATCATAAAGTTTGCCCAGTTCGCCTTAGTAATATGTGGACGGCTCGGAGTAGTAGCGGGGTTGGCTTTCCAAAACGAAACCAATAGATATTTCAGCGAAAGTATAAGAAATTTCGTCATGAAACTTGCATGCCAACCTAATATGGGGAAATTTTAGAATGGTTTCCCGAGTCGGAATTAAGGAAAATGTGCGGGGTAGTGGGGGTTCTAAAGGGGGTCTATGTACAGTTTTAAAACGCGGAACCTTATAGTTTTCAAGTAATTTGTTATTAAAGTTTGTAATTTTGGGTGGGGTTTAGTAGCGCCCCAATTATTTCGGGCTATTCCGTCCAAAAGCGTATCTCGATCAAAAAAAATAAAAAATCCACACGGGAAATGTTTAGTACCACTCACCGTTTTTTGGGTGGGGGGCGGAGGGGGAGGGGCGGGGCCCCCAAAACACCCCCCAATAGAAAGGAGACAGTCGCCGCTTTCTAAAAAGGGGAACCCCTCCCTTGGACTCCTCNTTTGCATATTTTGGAGTTTGACAGCTGAACTCCGCCATTTAATTTGCATATGCAACCAAAGTCAGACGCGTGATTTTGAAGGTGTTTTTATTTAATGAATTGTGATGAATTGGTTAATATTAAAGTCGTAAAGCAAGTTATAACAAATCAAGTAAAGTGTAAAGTGAAGGGGAATACAAAAATATATTGGTAAAGTGGCTAATTTAAGCAGAATAGGAGTGATAAATGTACGCTAATTTCCGAATTTTACAAAAAAGGGCATATTTCAAACCCAATTTGTAAATAAATTAGTAACCAAAATTTACAAAAGTGAGTGTTAAAATATTGCGTCGACCCTTGACTACAAGTGTGTGAAATTTTTTTTTGGATCGGGCCACCCATTTGGACGGAATAGCCCGAAATAGTTGTGAGCGGTACTAAACCCCACCCATCCACACACTTGTAGTCAAGGGTGTGACCATTATTTTAGCACCCACTTTTGTAATTTTTGGTCACTAATTTATTTACAAATTGGGTTTGAAATATGCACTTTTTTGTAAAATTCGGAAATAGCGTACATTTATACTTCTATTCTCCTTAAAGCAGCCACTTCACCAATATATTTTTGTATTCCCCTTCACTTTGCACTTTGCTCGATTAGTTATAACTTTCTTTACGACTTTAATATTAACCAATTAATCACAATACATTAAAAAAAAACACCTTCAAAATCACGCGTCTGACTTTGGTTGCATATGCAAATTAAATGGCGGAGTTCAGCTGTCAAACTCCAAAATATGCAAAGAATGAGAGACAAAAGAAGATATTTTATAACCCAGAAGCATTAAAAATATACAAAGGTGTTCTCTGCAAAAGTTGTTCAGCTCATTTTCTTCGCAAAACAGAAAGAGAATTCTATTTTGTGAGGGTTATAATCTCTAAGTGTTCAGCTCCTTTTCTTCGCAAAACTAAAAGAGAATTCTACTTTGTGAGGGTTATAATCCCTAAGCGGCCGAGGGCCGCCTACGAAGAAAGGTGTTCTCTGCAAAAGGTGTTCAGCTCCTTTTCTTCGCAAAACCTGAGGATAATTCTACTTTGTGAGGGTTATAATCCCTAAGTGCGACCGAAGGCCGCCTACGCAGAAAGGAACTTTACGCAAACATTTGTTATAAAGAAATTTTTTTTTATAAAAACTTGTTTTTTCTATTTTAATTAACTTTTATTCTTTATTCAAAATCGCCCGATATCTAAATTGGCATAATTTCTGCTGCCATTTGCAAATATTCTCCATGTACTCTCATAATAATTAAACAACAATCAATTTTTCATAAAAAGCTGTAATATACTAAAAGTATTTATTTGTTTGATCGTACACACTCTAACTGCGCATATATTGAGTGTAAATAACGTGTAAATTTAGTGGAAAGTGCATTATATATTGTAAAATATTGCCATACAAGTTGGTTAAAATTACAACCTTTTAACAACAAATTCTATAAAAACTATAAGGTTGCGCGCTTTGAAACTTCATACAGGGAACTATTAGACCCCCGACAGCCGGTTCTACGTACCGGAATGACTCGGGTTTTACCCGACCAAGGCCTGTTGTTTCGGCGATCTAACCCCGTTTAGGTCGGCGAAGTATCTCAGAAGTTGTTCGTCCATAGGGCTACATTCGCTACGCTTACTTCTGCTCAGGGCTGGCATCGGGTCAAACCCAGGGCCAGAAACCTACACCTACTGTGTATGCCAGAGATGACTACACAACTCCACCTCAGTCAAGTGCAATGCTTGCGAGGGGTGGAGTAACCTCAGAGTCTGCTCAGGATTACGGACACATCGGCAGTGGTCCACGTCGTTTGTGCCCCCCTGCTGCTCAAACAGAGCAGCCTCCACGGCTAACCCCAGTCCACCTGAGCAGCCCAACACAAAACCACAGCACAACAACATAACACAATAGNGGCCAGAAACCTACACCTGCTGTGTATGCCGGAGACGACTACACCACAACTCCACCTCAGTCAAGTGTAATGGTTGCGAGGGGTTGAGGCACCTAAGAATCTGCTCAGGGTTACGAACACATCGGCAGTGGACCACGTCGTTTGTGGCCCCCTGTTGCTCAAATAGAGCAGCCTCCACGGCTAACTCCAGTCTACCTGAGCAGCTCCACACAAACACCACAGCACAACAACATAACAACACAATAGACCACACCACACCCACGACAGATCACAGAACATACACAACCGCACCACCACCCACACGCCGCCGCCAACAACTCTTGGTTCCTCCTATAATCTGCACGGTATGTCAGACCAGGATATTTCGTGATGTGACATCAGTCAAGTGCAACACCTGCCTTGGCTGGTGCCACTTTAGGGCATGTTCAGGTCTGCGCACCACGCGAGATTGGACGAGGAACTTCGAGGGCCCGTGTTGCACTGCGCGGTCGCAAACCTCAACTGCGACGCCACCCACCACCACCACAGGGCGGCAACAACCTCAGCAGCGCACACAACCAATGACGTCACGTCTACGCACATCTCTCACACCCCGCATTACCACACGTCTCCCGAACCACATGAAACTCGTTCAATTTTACTGCAACGGCCTTCAGAGCAAGATCGAGGAGATAACCGTCTTCATGGGAAGGCATGGTATATTGATAGCTGCGGTCCAAGAGACGAAGTTGCACAGCAATTCAACATTGTTGAATTGTGCCGGGTACAACTTGCACCTTCGAGATCGCGAGGGAGATAATGGTGGCGGCTTATCGTTCATCACGAACCACATCGTGCAGTATCGTCTTATAGAAGCAGACATCGACCGCAGGGATACCACCCTAGAATGTCAGGGCATTGCTATCCGGTCAGGCGATGTTGAGCTCGAAATATTCAACGTATACATACCCCCTGCCACCTGCTGCCCGGCAGGATATCACCCTGATATAGGTGCGCTCCTCAGTGGTGAAAACCGGATGGTAGTAGGTGACTTCAATGCGCACCACGATCTTTGGCACTTAGGCCCGTCAAACGGTTGTAGCGGAACTGACTTTGCTGAGCAGATAGACGATTCGACATTTCGACAGGATTATGGGCAGCTGCTGCAGCTCGCCATACATACAATAGTCAGCGCTGGTCTGATAAACTGCATATGACGACCTATGCTGACTTTGGCATAAGACCATCTGCCCATAGTCATCACGATCGATAACCTATATCATCTTCTCTAAAGCTGACTGGGAAGGCTTCGCAGAATTTGCTGAAAACACCTTCGCTGCTCTCCCCACACCAACCGACGTCCACCTTGGTGAACGTAAGTTCCGCAGGGCTGTCAACGCTGCTGCAGCTCGCTTCGTACCGGAAGGATGTCTTACAGACCCACGTCTAAATTTCCCTGCCGAAGCGGCTGTTTTAACCGATGAGCGTCAGAGCCTTCGTCAGGCCGATCCCGAAATCCCCGTATCAGGGATCTCAACGCGGAGATTCTTCAACTAGTGAACGTACATAAGCGGAAGAAGTGGGAAGAGCATTGAAGACCTGTAACTTCACATCTGGTGTGAGTAAGCTTTGGTCAACCGTGAGGTCACTGTTCAATCCGACGAAGCACGACGACAGAGTCGAAATTTCTTTCGGCGACCATGCTTCGTCGGACCCGGAGCGATGCGCGAGCTATTTTAGCCGGCAGTTCATACTGCATCCTCCGGTGGACAAAGCCAAGCGTCGAGTGACCAGAAGGCTGCACAAACTGCCAACAACTTGTGCCCCCTTGCTTTCACTTGCGGTGAAGTTCAGGTGGCCATCGGGAAGGCGAAAGCCTGCAAAGCCATGGGTCCCGACGGAATATGCATGCTGATGCTGAAAAATTTGGGTCCTGCGGGAGTCGCGTACCTAAGTGAGGTCCTCAATTTGTCAATGCCCACTCTCATCATCCCAGACATCTGGAAGGTGGGGAGAGTGGTCCCACTGCTCAAACCGGGGAAGCCCGCCAACAAAGGAGATTCGTCTCGACCGATAACACTCCTTACCCCGGTAGCGAAGACACTTGAGGCCCTGCTGCTCCCGTGTTTCACGAACCACCTGACCCCAGCGAAGCATCAGTATGGTTTCCGTAAAGTGCACAGTGAAACAACAGCACTTAACGCCATAAATACTCAGATAACACGTGACCTTAACCGTAACCGTCCCTGTGAGAGAACGATTCTAGTAGCTTTGGACCTGTCAACGGCATTTGACACTGTCAGCCATTTCTCGCTACTGGAAGATATAGAGGTTCCTTTCTCCCACAGAGGCTCAACCGGTGGTCGGCAAATTATCTGAGTGGTCGACACTCGTCGGTAATGTTTATAGACAAATCGAGCAAACTTAGGAAAATCAAACAGGGGGTTCCACAGGGTGGTGTGCTTTCCCCGCTACTGTTTAACTTTTACATTTCAAAGCTCCCTCAACCACCAGAGGGAGTCTCGATTGTCTCCTATGCCGACGGTTGCTCGACCATGGCGACTGG